AAGACTGCTTCTGTTTTGCTGCCAGTGAGTCACCTGCCTTGGCCAACGTAGGGTGGGAACTTGCCTTTCCATCCAGCCCCAGCCACTGCTCCTTCTCCCTACCTGCAGCTCTGCCTCTGCTTTGGCCCATGATGCATCTGGATCCTGCCTCCCACCCACCTCTCCCTCACACTTTTCTCTGGGGATAGCCCCTGTGTCTTTTCTGCTTGCAGCTCTCACAGCACTGGGCACAAAGCAGGTAACTAAAAATCCCTGCTTGTTGATTGTTTAGGGGGAAGTGCTGACACAATTCTGCCTTCAGAAATGATGTGTACTGTGGTATCAGGAAGTGTTCAGGATAACTGTGTTTTGCAATTGCCACATTTTTTGAACTAGCAATCATGATCATTAACATGTATTGAACACATACGATGTATCAGGCATCATATGAGCATTTTGCAAGTTTCATGGTCATAACAACTCTGATGTTGGTACTGGGAGCCTCCCGTTTTGCACAGGAGAAATCAGACACCAGAAGTTAAGCCAATTAGTGCAAGGTTGAAGCCGGGATTTGAGCCCAGACGTCTGCCTCTAGACACTAGTGCAGCAAGAGCAGTAAGGTGGCTGGAGGCAGTGACCTGAGTCCAGATCTGAGACAGAGGCCCAAGGTTGGATCCCAGCCCACACCTTATCCCCTACTAGGACGGGATCCAGAGCAAGCCATATCTTGCTTTCAAAAATGAGGGCTAGGCTTAATCAGGGTTTGCAGTGTACTGGGCTTGGAGGGTCCCAGGTGGGTGCCCTAAGTTAAAAAGGGCCAAGGGTGATTGTTGCCATGTAGGCATACTGACCCAGTGTTGTCTTCCAGAATATTCTAGAGAAGCCAGAAATCCTGAGTTTTGTATGCCAAATCCTTCCTAACTTGCAGATGTTAGTAACTAATTATTTACAACTCACCCCACATCAAAATAACACTTCTGCTGCTTGCCTGCAGCCAGGGAGTTACCAGTTCACAAACTGGAGCTAGGTCACCTGTAAAGGCTCTTCCACCACTGTCAGAAGGCGAGATTCCAAAGCAGCCCCTGCCCTCCAGGGGCTTCAGTCTCCCTGGCAAATGTACCAGGACACACCCGCCCCAGGAGAACCCCGAACGGAGGGTCCTGGGGCCCGGGGCCGGCAGCCAGTGGGGTTTTCCTGAGGGGCAGAGTCCTGCAGAAAGCTGAGATGCGGATGGGTGCGAAGATGGTGCCCCAGCCAGGCTAAGACAAAAGTTTGCCCTCTCTCTGTGGGTCCTCTGGGCACGCCCAGAGCCAGGGCTTGACCTGGGCTGTCAGTGGGGCCAGCTTTGCTGCTGAGGAAACAGAGCTTTAGTGACTCGCCTAAGGCCCCCAGACAGGAGGTGGTGAAAAGAGACTAAAAGCAGGTCTGGCTGCATTCCGCCTCCCAGAGAGGATTGGGTTTCAGGGGAAGAGAGTCTGGGGTTGGCGGGTCAGCTCTATGTATGGGAACCTGGAAAGGAACTTCCACCCCAAAGGGGCTGCTCTGGCATGCTCTAGAAGAGAGACAAGGAGTTAAAGGCTGACCGTGTGAGTTGAGCAGAACCAAGAGATCAGGGTCCTGGGGAGAGGTGGGTGGAGCCGTCTGCTGCAGAGGACCCACTCCAATCCCATCACCTGCCTCCGGAGAGGTCCTCCACCCCGTGGACCCCACCCCATTCCCCATCTGTAAAAAGGATGTGATTGGACCTGTCAACATTTCTCTCCAAAATGGTACCTGTGCCAGCAGTGATTTCAGGCAGTACCTCCAGGGGAACTTTCTTTTATCCTTTAGTAATTTTAATATTCATATGCTAATTTTCAGCAAATTAGAAAAAATAATAACTATAACAGCAAACCCTTAGTAAGCACTTTCTATGCGCCAGGTACCGTTAAGACAACATATATTCCTTAACGCTGCATCTCATTACAAGCCATGAGGTCAGTTTACAGAGGGAGGACATGAGGTAGAGGGAGGCAAACTTGGTCACCCCAAATCACTCAGTTAGCTAAGAGGCAGACCTGGATTCAAGTCCAGGCAGCTGCCTCCAGTCATTCACTCAAATCTGTGAACAAAGAATATTGCCTGACATCCCAGCTCTACAAGGATTAAGTTGGAACCCACAGCAGTTGACTCTCAATGCTTCCTGAGGGGAATTCAGGATGGAAAAGCACTCAGCACTCAGCATTCTGTTCCGGATATACAGCCCCCAGACAGTTAAGATGCGAACCAAAGGAAGAATTCTAGTGACCCAGACATCCTGTATCTCCCCTTACATTGAAAAGCACTAAAATCATTAACTTGAGCTAGCTGGGTTTGTGCCTGTGTGTGTGGGTGTGTGACTGGCATTAATCCTTTACCTAGACTTATATATGACCACATGTAACTCCCAACAACAAATTCATATGTATCCTGGCTCCTCCCTTACCTCTTTGGAGCAGTTCCTCAGACCTGAGAGGCTGTCTCCCAAGCTACAATCCTCACATTGCTGTTGCTCAGTCGCTGAGTCGTTCCGAATCTGTGACCCCATGGACTGCAGCACGCCAGGCTTCCCAGTCCTTCACCATCTCCCAGAGTTTGTTCAAACTCATGTCCACTGAGTCATTGATGCCAGGCAGGCATCTCATCCTCTGTCACCTCTTTTCCTCCTGCCTTCAATCTTTCCTAGCATCAGGGTCTTTTCCAATGAGTTGGCTTTTTGCATCAGGTGGCCAAAGTACTGGAGCTTCAGCTTAGCATCAGTCCTTCCAGTGAATATTCAGGACTGATTTCCTTTAAGATTGACTGATTTAATCTCCTTGCTGTCCAAGGGACTCTCAAGAGTCTTCTCCAACACCACAATTGGACCTTTGTCAGCAAAGTGGTATCTCCGCTTTTTAATATGCTGTCTACGTTGGTCATAGCTTTCCTTCATAGGGTCCCTGAATAAAGCTGAAACTCACTGCTCTTATGTTGTGAGATGCTGATTTTTTTTTTTTTCAGTTGACAAACCCTCTCCAATGTCTTTTCGTAGACTGAGGGTAACAGCACAGGTGGTGTGACACAGGTAATTGGGAAGGTGATAAAAAGGGATAGGATACCCACTCCAGTATTCTTGGGCTTTCCTAGCGGCTCAGTTGGTGAAGAAGCTGCCTGCAATGCAGGAGACCTGGGTTTGATTCCTGGGTTGGGAAGATCCGCTAGAGAAGGGAACAGCTACCCACTCCAGTATCCTGGCCTGGAGAATCCAATGAACTGTATAGTCCATGGGGTTGCAAAGAGTCAGACATAACTGTTTTGCACTTCACTTCATTTAAACAGATCACAGCATGGCTACAGTCAGGTGGTCTCCAAGGGCCTGTCCAGAGATAGAGCTCTATAATTTGAGAAGAAAAACTCCAGACTGGAATCTTATATCAGATAACCATATTTTTGTAACAGATAGTGTGCTGTGTTTCCATGGTTCACAAATCAAAATTACATAAAAAGATCTACACTGAGATGCTGCAAACATCCCGGCAGTTTCTATGTGTCCTTCAAAGTCTGCTTTGTGCAAATACAAGCAAAGAGAATATATTCTTCCTCCTCTTCCCCTAAGTCCAAAAGACCACACACTGTCCACCTACCTTGGTGGTGTTCACTTATCAACTCAGCCTTGAGGCCTGTTGCTATCCATCAGCCAGTGAGCCCTCCCACCTCCCTCTCTTTGTAACAGGTGTGTGCTATTCCAACAGGCCATCATCTCTTCCACTAGCCCCTCTTCTGTGGATAGCACAAAGGTTGTCTCTTATGTTTTGCTGTTAGAAATAGTTTGTTTGCTGCAAGAAATAGTAACTTCGTGTATATCTCATGGCTTTGGAAGAATCTCACCGTGAGAAATGGAGTCATCGTTGATTGACGTTTCCCATGGTAAATGAAAGGGACAGTCTAAGACTTGCTTGTATTTTTTCCTCTGACCTGTTCATATCCTATGTCAACTTCTCTATTGGGTCTTTTTGTTCTTAATCTGTAAAAACTCTTGACATATTAGGAAGAGGAACTTTTTGTCTGTGCTTTACATTGCAATATTTTCCCCCCAGGATATCATCTGTCTTTTGATCTTCTTGTTGGTATTTTTTTGTCATTTTTTGCAGAGGCTGTTTTATTTGCTTGCTTTTGTGTGTTCTAATATTTATGCGGTAGAATGTTATTGTTGTAGCCACATGTTCTGGGAAACAAACTCACTCAGAAGGACAACGCAGATAGTGGAGTACAGTTTATTACACCGGCAGGCCCAAGGCAGAGTCTCCTCTTAGCCAAGGACCCTGACCAATTTTTCTGAAAACCTTATATACCCTAAGTGTACATGCCCAAACCCACCTCCCCAAATTCCCTTAAACTAGTCTGAACAAAGGAAAAGAAAGACACAATCAAAGTTAACCCATGGTTCATATGCCTTAGGCCTAGGTAGTTAACAGTGGACAATTATCAATAGAACTGTGGTCATACCCCAATAAGCATAATAGAATGTATGATTCTATTTGGTTACACAGACAATTAGGGTATTCTTTTAGGTGACGGAGAGTCTAGGTACGAGCCCTGGGGCTCTTCCATCTGGGGGGGTCTGGTTTTCCAGTTGGTCTGTCATTTCCATAGATACTGGGCACATAGCTCAAAGTCCACAGTCTGGCCCAAGATGGAGTCCTGCTTTCAAGATGGAGCCTGTTCTGTCTGTTTCCTCCTTCAGTATCAAATTTTTCTTTTGTGGACTCTGGATTTAGGAGTCATGATTAGGAAAGCTTTCCCTGCTGAAAGGTTAGTTATAAAGGGATTTGTCCATGTTTTCTGCTAGTAAAAATCCAACGTGTTCATGGAGAGGGGAATAATAAGAGAAAACCCAGGGCCCAGAAGCACAGTCTTTTGCTATACGATGCACCTGACATTGCTCACCTGATATTCTTCTCTATCAAACACATTGCAGGCTGATCTGAGGAGGGAGCTGCCTCCGGCCCAGGGCAGACGTCACCATGGCCTTCCTGATACACCTGCTGGTCTGCACGTTCGGGATGGGCTCCTGGGTGGCCATCAACGGGCTTTGGGTGGAGCTGCCCCTGCTGGTGACGGAGCTACCGGAGGGCTGGTATCTGCCCTCCTACCTCACAGTGATCATCCAGCTGGCCAACATCGGCCCCCTGCTGGTCACCCTGCTCCATCACTTCCGCCCTGGCTGCCTCTCCGAGGTGGCCGTTGTCTTCACCGTGCTGGGGGTGGGCACCATCGCCTGCACCCTCTTCGCCTTCCTCTGGAACGTCACTTCCTGGGTGCTGGGCAGCCGCCACAGCATCGCCTTCCTAGTCCTCACCTTCTTCCTGGCCCTGGTGGACTGCACCTCCTCTGTCACCTTCCTGCCCTTCATGAGCAGGCTGCCCACCTACTACCTCACCACCTTCTTTGTGGGCGAGGGACTCAGCGGCCTCCTGCCTGCACTTGTGGCTCTTGCCCAGGGCTCGGGTCTCACCACCTGCGCCAACGTCACGGAGATATCGGCCACCACCCTGAGCTCTGAGGCCACCAGGAACGTGGACAGCCCACAGGTACCTGGCATCACCCAGGGTCTTTGCAGCTCTGTCCTAGGTCACAAGCAAGGTCTTAACCCAGGGCTGGTGTTTCCGAGATGTTGCGTAGGCCCGTGTCCTTGACCCGACACCATTTTCGATCACCTGGGGGCGCTGCTGAGACACACACGTCTAGGGTGGGGCTCCTCTGAAGTCCTTGTGGTCGGGTGTATTTTGAAATCTGGAGTTTCAGATTGTAGAACACACTTACCCCACGTCTAAGACAGGGCCTGTGACATGGCAATCCCCACAGCCCACAGCCCAGGGCATTCATGCCCCATAGGCAGATGAGGGCTATAAACAGCTTCATATCCAGTTCAAATGTTGCTGTCAACTGACTCATGAAAACATTCTGACTTTCAGAGCCTTTCGGATTTTAGAGTTGCAGATAAGGGATTGTGAACTTGTATTTATTGAAAATTCCCTAGGTGCCACTAATGTACAACCAAGGCTGAGAACCACAGACTTCAGACGTTGATAAACGTTTAGACATTACTCCATGTGTTTACAGCATCAAACTTTCTCACTGGATGTGGGACAATATATACATCTGATATTATCCAAACCACAGCAGTGCAGCAATGGTTGCAAACCAGTTTCTTTAGCAGGCAAAAGAAAATCTTTTTTTGAGAGTTTGAATTAGTTAATAATATTCAAATGTTTTGAAATTTCACATAAATCTAGATGCATGATATCTCTTGAAAACAGTCGCCACAGGGCACCTTTGGATGGAGCTGTTCTGTCTCAAGCCAGCCCCATCTCTGAATATGCATATTTTCGGTTGCCAGCCCTGAAGGGCATTGAGTGGGCGGAGCAGTAGCTTCTGTCCTGACACCTCCGTGCTCTGTAAAATGGGGACTGCACGACGCTGTCAGAAGACACACACAAGCTGATACTGACCCAGTGCTGCTGCCCAGTGAGTCAGTGTGAGCATGTATTATCCTCACCATAGGAGCTGTGCGTATATTATCCATCACTTACATAATAATGATAATGCCTAGTATTTATCGTATACACACAGACCTCGGAGAGAATTGCAGATTTGGCTCCAGACCACCACGATAAAGCAAATATCTCAGTAAAAAAGTCACACAAATTTTCTGTGTGCCTATAAAAGTTATGTTTATCCTATATGTCGTCTACTAAGTATATAATAGCACTGTGTCTAAAAAAACAATGTACATACCATAATTTTAAAATATTTTATTACTAAAAAGTGTTAACCATCTAGGAATTTCCTGGTGATCCAGAGCTTAGAACTCAGCTTCCACTTTAGGGGGTCTGGGTTCAATGGGCCCTGGTTAGGCAATGAAGATCCCACAAGCTATGTGGGGAAGCCAAAAAAAAAAAAAAAAAAATCAACTATCATCTTAGCCTTCAGTGAGTCATAATCTTTTTGCTAGTGGAGGGTTTGAAATAATTCAAGAATTACCAAAATGTGACCCAGAGGCAGGAAGTGAGCAAATGCTGTTGGAAAAAGTACCAATAGTCTTGCTTGACACAGGGTTGCCACAAATCTTCAGTTTGTTTAAAAAAAAAAAAAAAAAAAATCACCCAGGGATCTGACTGGCCCTTGTTTTGTCTTTCCCAGGGAGCTGGCAGCACTTTGGTGTCTGAGCTTACTGGGACAGCACCCTCCGCGATCCGCCTGGAAAGCCGTTACCTGCCCGCCAACTTCCCGCCCTTGGTCTTCTTCCTCGTGCTCTCCTGCATGATGGCCTGCTGCTTTGCCGCCTTCTTTTTCCTCCAGCGTCAACCCAAGCGCTGGGAAGCCTCCATAGAAGACCTCCTCACCTCTCAGGTCACCCTCTACTCCATCCGGCCGCAGGAAGGGAAGGACCTGGGTCCCCCAGAGGACAGCGGCAAGGCCCAGGACCCTCTGGAGGAGAAGACGGCCCCCCAGCGCCCGGCCCGCCTGACTTTCATCTACGTCCTGGTGGCCTTTGTGAACGCGCTCACCAATGGCGTGCTGCCCTCGGTGCAGACCTACTCCTGCCTGTCCTACGGGCCTGTGGCCTACCACCTGTCGGCCACCCTCAGCTCCATGGCCAACCCTCTCGCCTGCTTCCTCTCCGTTTTTCTGCCTAACAGGTCTGCCCTCACCTCGCCCTGAAGAGCTCGGGTTGGGGGAGCGCTTCATGTCAGAACCCAGAATGCACCGCACCTATCTATCAGGCTGGAGGTGGGATAGTTAAGAATGTGGTGTCTGGGGCTCACCTGCCTGGGTTCACATCCCGGCTCTGCCACTTGCTAGCTCTGTGATACTGGACTCCTCTCTGTGCCTCAGGAATCTAATCTGGAAAATGAGGAGAATAATAGCTCTTCTTGGGTTTCTGGGGGCTAATTTTGTAAAGCTTTTTTTTTTTTTTTAATTTTGTAAAGCTTTTAGAGCGCTGAGGGCCTGGCGCATGTCAGGTCTACATTCACCACCACTGGCCCATGAGGAGGAATAAGCAGACAGGAAGCGAGGCTCCTATTTACAAATAGAAACCCTGAGGCTCAGAGAAGGCCTTGCTCTGATCCAGTTCCCAGGATTTGAGTCCTGCCCTCCTGCCTGTGGCCCACACTGGCCCTCTTACCGCTGCAATTCTAGAAGAATGGCTGGGCAAATTGATAAAATGCAAATTGAGTCAGCCTAGATGGAGACCTGGGGTTTCAAATTTTAATAAGCAACCTAAGTAGTTCTGATGCAGGGGCTTCAGACCCCCACAGGAGAAACACCCACCTTGGAGTCATGAAACTTTAGGTCCCCCCTGCCTCCCACCTGCTCCTCTGGCCTGCCTGTCTTCACTGCCTCTGAGCCCTGCCCATCCCCACCTCCCCTAGTTCTGCCCACCCTACCCTCACCCCCTGCCAGGGAAGGAGGGATCATGAGGATGGGAGAGCTGGACAGATGTCAGTTTGCCAGAAAGCTGAGTTTTTCTCCCTTGGGTTGGAACACTGTGGAGCGAAGCTGGAGATCTCTGAGGGAACAGACCAGAGGCTGCAGATCTATGGACTCTGAGATGCCCAGAATGTTAGAAATACAGAACCTGAGAGTCCCAGAATCCAAGAATCCTGAGACAGAAAGTGTCCTTAGAGGTAGGCAGCCCTCCACTCTAACCTGTCAGTGTGGATGGGGAGATCCCAGGGAAAAGGCCTCAAATGAAGGATGGTGTCCTCAGTGGTCAGACAGAGGGCCTGCTTGGAAGGCCACCAGAGCCTCTGAGCCGGCTACCAGGGCCCTCAGGTCATGTGAATCTCACCTTGTGGACCCGGAAGCTGAGGCTGGAGGGAGGGAGGGTCACCCGAGGTTGCACAGCACACCCTACAGTCACGGTGCCATGATCCAAGCCTCCCACTCATCTGCCCAGCTTCCTGGAGTGGGTGGGAGGTGTTGCAGGAGGAAATAGCAAAGATGGTACCAGGTGGGCCCACAACCAGGGCCAGGCCATACACACTCTGCTCCTGTGCGTTCTCCCAGCCCCACAAGACTCATTTCATGGGTGAAGAAACTGAGGCTTAGGGCCCAGTCTTGCAGGAGGAACTGGTATTTGAACCAGGCTTGTGTAGCCCTAGAATCTGTTCTGTTTCTCCCGCTGGGATGCTGGGCTCTGCTGTTAATACTCAGGATGACTTGTGCCAGTCTTGACCTCAGGAACCTCACTGATGCACTTGAACTGGGTAGCCTGGAAGTTTCCACATGGGTCTAACCTCTAAACCTGGAGAAGCTGACCACTCCATGTGGCCCCCTGGAGCTCAGAGGCTAGGTGGGGGAGTAGGGGCAGAGGTTCAGGCTTTTCACCTCCTCTGATCATGCCCCCCACCCAACTCTGTCCTAGGTCTCTGCCGTTCCTGGGAGTCCTCACAGTGCTCGGGACCAGCTTCGGAGCCTACAACATGGCCATGGCTGTGATGAGCCCCTGCCCCCTCATGCAGGGCCACTGGGGCGGAGAAGTCCTCATCGTGAGTGTCGACTGTGGCGCTATCCCCCTCCCACCCTTACCTAGCCAAGGCCTAGGAGATCCAGAGTATAGCTCCTTCTATTAACCAAGTGCTTTGTGGTTACTCGCTCAGGAAGCCCAAGGTGGAGGTGGGGGGGAGGAGGGATGCTTTCACTGGGGAACAAAGGCTTGAGAAGTTTAGTTGGCTGGTCCGAGGTTACAGTCCAGCCTCTCCCGTGAACACCATACTCTCCACTATGTGTATGTCAGCAGTAGCCTTCTCCCAGTTACCCCTGACTTGATCATGCTGAGCTGTACTTAGTCGCTCAGCTGTATCTGACTCTTTGTGATTCCATGGACTGTAGCCCACCAGGCTCCTCTGTCCGTGGGGATTCTCCAGGCAACTTTGGGTTGCCATACCCTCCTCCAAGGGATCTTCCCAACCCAGAGATCGAACTCAGGTCTCCCGCATGGCAGGCAGATTATTTTACCTTCTGACCCATCAGGGAAGCCTAAGAATACCACAGTGGGTAGCCTATCCCTTCTCTAAGGGACCTTCCCTACCCAGGAATCGAACTGGGTTCTCTGCAAGAGATTGCAGAGAATTGCAGGCGGATTCTTTACCAGCTGAGCTACCAGGGAAGTCCCGACTTGATCATGGGGGACAGAAAGCCATTGGGTTCTTTATCCTTGGGGAGGTCAACTCATGGGGCCCCATTAGCTCTCTTTGCACTTAGAGGCTTTTCCATGGGGTTCTCTTAGCCATGTTAGGTCACCCTAGAAGCACCCTTTGCCCCTGGGGCTCACCCCAAAGTCACCTTCACTCAGCATCTCTCCCAACCTGTCTCTGCAGGTGGTTTCTTGGGTGCTGTTCATTGGCTGTCTGAGCTACGTCAAGGTGATGCTGGGTGTGATCCTACGCGACCACAGCCGCAGCGCCCTCTTGTGGTGCGGGGCGGCGGTGCAGCTGGGCTCGCTCCTGGGAGCGGTTGTCATGTTCCCGCTGGTCAACGTGTTGAGACTCTTCTCATCCGCTGACTTCTGCAGCCTGCAGTGCTCCGCCTAAACCAGCTGAAGGGACGTGATCCATCATAAGGCCCCGCCCTCATTACTAACTCCTGAAAACTGGGACACCTTGAGGCAAGGTGTGTGCCCAAGGCCACAGAGCCAGTGGTAGAGAGCAGGGAGGCAGAGCCTGAGTCCTCTCTGGAAAGGTGGGGAGTGGTGTGGGCCTCCCAGGGGACGTGGAAATGCAAAGCACAGCCCACCCCAACTCTGTCACTGTGCCTGCAGTCCTAGCTTCTCAGATCTCGTTTCAGCTCTTGAGAGATGACTGTGAGAAATGAACTATTTTCTGCCGTATCAATAAACAGGATATCGCAGCCACCAGCTATTGCAGGTGTCCAACATGAGCCAGTGAGCCCTGAGGAAACTCAGGATATGAAAACACAGGATACTGACCCCAGATAGCTGAGGTGAATATCAGAGGGATGATTTCAGTGAGCCCAGACTCTTGCTAAATACATAGAAAAGCGCTGAATTGCTTAACTTGCAATTTCTGGTTTTCTTTCATTAACAGTAATCTATTGATGCTTCCACTACCTGCCCTTTGTGACAAAACTCCTATATCCTAGCTCCTCCCCTGACCTTCTCGGAGCAGTTCTCTCAGGGTTACTTGAGATGCTGCCTCCCAGGCTTGAAGTCCTAAAAACTCCCGCTGAATAAAACATAACTCTTTAACTTTTAGATTGTGAATATTTTTTACATCAACAATTCTGCAGCACCCAGCTGGATGGTGTTAGAAGGGGAACAGCTGGGAGGGTGAGCCGCCTGTTATAAGCCATGTGACCTTGGGGAAGTCACTTGATTGCTATGTGCCTCTGTTTCCTCTTCCACAAAAATGGGAATTATTAGCACCTATGTCGCAGGTTTGGCACAGGGATAAAAGGGAGAAGCACCCAGCATGTCCTGATCTGATGACCAAGAGTAATAACAGGAGTGACAATCAACAAAGCCTAGAAGTAGATAGAGGGGTTGAGAGATGTCCCCTTCTCCATATCCTTTCCACCCCTGTTCTCACAGAGAAGCTTCTAGAAGACAGATGGCTAATGGTGGACTCTCTCTCACCTTGACTTCCCAGTATGGAGGAACATTGTACCCCTTCTTGTTACCCCTGCTGATCCAGGAAGGCTCACTCCTTGGAGAGTAAATTACCTCCCAAGAGGCAGAAGGAGAGCATTGGGATGGAGGGGCCACAGCAAGACTCTGAATATGAGTTCCCCCACCCCATTCACTGGCTGACTCTGAACTGGAAGGCAGTCCTCTGAACTGGAGGGAGGAGGAGAGTGGGGAGGAGTGTGTTAGTGACCTGATAGTTTTTTGGTTTTATCTTTTTTAAAAAAAAAAAGATAAAGATATTCCTTGTTTTTACACTAAGGTCATCCTTCTAGAGAAAGTCCAACATGAATGCCAAAACAATGTTTCAATATAATCAGCTTTCAGTTGGTTCTAAAGTGAAGGCTGAGCTCAGAAATAAACAGAATCAAGGGCTTAGAGAAGGTCTGATCCTGGGACTTCTTTTCTTCACAGGTTTGTTTAGTTTGCTTGCCACCACTCCTCCTTTTTATTTTTTTTTCCTCCTTTTTATTTTGAATAGATAATATAAAGTCACATATTTCAAAAATCATAAAATAAAAAATGATATTTAGCAAAAAAGAAATTCCATCCCTCTCCACTTCCTGCTCTGTCCAGCTCCTCTTAACATGCACATGAGCACTTTTATTTGTTCCTTGTTTATTCTTCCAGAGATTATGCAAATGTAAACAAATTCAAATATAGTCTTTTTACATAAAGAATAGTAAATCACTGTGTACTTTGCACTTTCACGCAACAGTGAAAATGTAGTCTTCTCATTCTTTATCATGACTTCATAGTATTCCACTGTGTGGAGCTGCCAGATTTGTTCAACCAGCCCTCTGTAGAGAGGTATTTGAAGGTGTTGGAGACAAAATTTTAAAAATCTCCCACCAAACCCAAAAACCTCCCACAAAAGCAGAAAACATAGAAAACAGTTTGATTATTGAATATATGTTCAATGTGATTGTGGTACACATCACAGACAGTCTGCTAAAGAGACCGCAGAGGTGGAAAGAAACTCCACACTTTTATAAAGCCCAGCAGACACAACCTGTTAACATTACATCCAGGTTCTCAAATGACAACTTGTCCTCAAGAAAAAGAACTAGATAGTACGGTTGGTCACCCTGAACTCAGCTGGCATTTGGGGTGGCTGGCTGTTAGCTAATTGTCATTATACACAGTAAAGAAGAATTCATATCTTTCTATGAAGGTGGCATTGCAACTTGGAGCCAAACCTTGAAATTAAGCTCCTCGCCTGGAACAGCGTGTGGGTGAGGGGGGCCTGGCTTCCTGATACTTACATTGCAAACAGAGGGTTCCTGCATCCTTGAGAAAAACATTCCTGGATAGAAAAACTGACAAGAGGCTTATTCAGCTTTTTTAAAAGACTCATATACATGGGAAAAGGAGCAAAGAAAAAATTTACAAGTTTTCTAAAGTAAATGCTCTAAGAAAAAGGAGCAGGGATGTCTCTTTCCCTTTTTGGCGCCAGGAAGAAATGTTTTTATTTGTATTTGCCCTTCCAAGGGCGTTTGGATTATTTCTAGTCATTCCACCCACAAAAGATACTGGAGTGGATGATGAGCACCAAGACCATGTCTCTGTACTGACGTGGGAAGATGCTCCAAGATTAATTACACACACAGGAAGCAGATGCACAAGAGCAGGTAGCAGATGTACTAGCCATACAAGTACATTCTGTCAAGGACGAGGTGGGAGGGCAGGGACTTGGTATCTGGAAAAGTCACCTCCATCTGACAGCCCTCCCTGTGGTTTCGCTTCCACCCACCTCCTTGGGAGTCCTGTGACCTTGACAGCCTTTAAGTTACCTTGCACAAGTCAGCTCTCCTTGGTCTCTTCCTCTGTACAATGGGGACAATAAAAACCCCACCCTTTCAGGGTTCTGGTGAGGATTAATTAGCTTCGCACCTGCAAGCAGTAAGCATTCCATCATTTTCATTAAAAAGCTTCCACTTGGTGAGAATATCTGCTATAGACCCTGAATGCCCCTTAACCTCAGGCCCACTCTACAAGTCTGACCCAAGTCACATGATGTCTTTATGGGCCAACCAAGGCCATTTCCCAGAAGAATGAGATCAGGACTCCGGACTCTGCCTAGGGTTGGCAGCGGGTGGGTATCCCTGAGGACGCCCCCTGATAGAATTAAGCTTATAGATCTTAAATAGGGTGGTTACTTTGGATTACTTGAATGGACCCAATCTAATCACATAAGTCTAATCACATAAGTCTAATCTAATCACATAAACAGAGAATCAGAAGAGATTCAGTGAGGACTCGAAGGGTGGTTCAGTGGCTGGGACTCTGCGCTCCCAATTCAGGGGGCCCCAGTTCCATCCCTGGTCAGGGAACTAGATCTCACAGCCTGTAACTGAGTTCACATGTCATAAGTAAAAAAAAAGAAGAAGAAAAGAAAAAAAATCCCACATGTCACAACGAAGGTCCAAGATCGTACAAGCCACAACTAAGACCTGGCGCAACCAAATAAATAAATAAAAATAAACATTAAAAAAGAAGAGAGTGAAAGAAATAAGAAATACACAGCATCATACCCTTCAATAGCAAAAAACCCAAACAATTCTATTAGGAATGGACACAGGAACTGAAACTATGTTTTTCCAAAAAAGACACACAGATGACAAACAGGTACCATGAAAATGTGCTCAACATCACTAATCACTGTATGTGTATGCTCAGTCGTGTCCAACTCTTTGAAACTCCATGGACTGTAGCTTGCCAGGCTCCTCTGTCCATGGGATTCCCCAGGCAAGAATACCAGAGTGGGTTGCCATTTCCTACTCCAGGAGATCTTTCCAACCCAGGGATCTAAACCCACATCTCTTGTGTCTCGTGCATTGCCAGGTGGATTCTTTACCAACTGTACCACATAGGAAGCCCAATCATTAGGGAAATGCAAGTTAAAACCACAAGGCCATATATCATACAGCTGCTATCAAAAAGACAGGAGTTAAGTGTGGGTGTGTGGGAATGTGAAGAAAAGGCAGCCCGCCTGCACTGCTGGTAGGTCTGTAAACTCATGCAGCCACAACAGAAAACAGTATGGAGGTTCCTCGAAAAAATAAAAACAGAACTACTAGATGATCCTGCAATCCCACTTCTAGGTATATAACTGAAGAAAATAAAATAAATCTCAAGGAGATATCTGTGCCTTCATGTTTATTGCAGCATTGTTTGCAACAGCCAAGACATGGAAACAGCCTGAGTGTCCATCAACAGATGACTGGATAAAGAAATGCATTACTATACACAATGGAATAATAATCAGCTTTAAAAAAAATAAAGAAATCCTGCTATCTATGACAATATGGATGGACTTTGAGGGGTATTATGTTATATGAAATAAATCAAACAAAGACAGTACTGTATATTCTCACTTATAAGTGAAATCTTAAACTTGAACTATGTAGAAACAGAGAATGAGGTTGGTGAAAAGTAATTGCAGTTTTGCATTTTTGAACTTTGTCATTTGATATTGGAATACATTCTTCCATGTGGTTAATATAATGCATTTTTTTTTGCTAATGGTTTATTACTTGCTATTTATTTTATACTTATTTTAGGCTAAGGGAATGACATTAAAGAAAAAGCAAATTCGAGTGATTTTCTTATTTGAGTTCAAAATGGGCCCCAGAGCAGCAGAGAAAACTCACAACTTGCACATTTGGCCCAGAAACTACTAATGAACATACAGCACAATGGTGGTTCAAGAAGTTTTGCAAAGGAGACGAGACCCTTGAAGATGAGGAGCGCAGTGGCTGGCGGTCGGAAGTTGACAATGACCAGTTAAGAGCATCATCAAAGCTGATCCTCTTACAGCTACATGAGAAGTTGCCGAAGAACTCAGCGTGGACTGTTCTATGGTTTTTCGGCCTTTGAAGCAAATTGGAA